TTAGAATTAACTGTACCGCGAGCAACCCAAGACGCTGGACGATGTCATCCACCGTGCGACGCAAGAAGAGTTCATCATCAAGAAAGCCAACTTCATTGGCTTTGTACTAAGTCAAGCGCAAGTAATATTCAGGACCAACCGACATCTCGTACATTGCTACGCTAAAAACGAGGCGTCCTCGTAGCAATAGAAATATATTTTATTGTAAGAAGCCGGGTCGTATATTTTGGAACTGCAGAGTGACCGTGAAGTCGATTGAACTCTTCCTAGGGTCTAAAAAGGGGACGACCAGTAGAGGAGATGATTACTACTGAACTCGAGAAGAGTAATATGAATGCTAAGGATACTCAGAGTGACTTCGATTGCCCAAAAAGTTTTTTTGATTGTTTTGAGAAGCCACGGCGAGCTTTGATTGAGACTGATGCGTCAAACTTTGTTCGGGCGCATGCGATGACTGGGCGTGGTGTTAGCCTGCTCGACAAATCATCGTGAAAGAGGCTCGCTCTCTCCGTTACGGTACAAAGACACGTTTAGCTCCAGAGGCATCGTTTTGTACAAAGAAAGAGGGTCTGCGACCCGCTTCCAAGATTCCATAGTCTCGAAATGCATGAAAGTGACAGCTGCCTTCTTCTTCTCATCCGAAGAAGGTAACTGCAGTAATCTGACCACAGCAGATTCTCTGATGAATTTCGCATGCGCTCGACTGCCATCCGCTCATGTGCCATACGCTCATGTGCCATACACTCATGTCGAGATAAATGAGGACATCTCGTTTGTTTGCACCTCAGTTTGCGGTACTGATGGACGGAGTCGTGCTCCAACTGCCACCATATCGCTCGAAATAGAACAGGAGTAAAACTTGGAATGGAATGCGCGGCGTGCTTACCAGCTAATCAAATCGAATGTCGCCGTAAAGAGCGATCGAAGTGCTAATAGGTGTAAGACAACGCGGTTCACAACGGCTCCTCAAACACAGCTTAGACGCTTGTGCGACGAACAAGCGATTCCCGACATGGAGGGAGAGAGTTAATCTCAACTTGGAGGAAACGAACGACCCAAGACCATAACGGTAAATTTGCAACTGAATTAAAATGCGTTAACGCTTCCTGGCTACCCAAGAGATTCTGCAGTTTTTTAATAATATCTTGAATTCTTGATATATACGTGCTTTGGTTGAATATCAGCTTCAGCTTTTCCGAGATCTTTCATGTACGAAGCTTGAGCTTCGAAAAACCTGAATATTTAACTTTCGTGGAAAGTTTTAGTAGAAGTGATTGGCTTATGGTATCCACTTCGAAAGACAGAGACTCGTCGGTCTCGTCACCGGTACAGATCCCCAAGTAGGATATTTGAAAGTTGATTGGTACAGCAATACCGATGATACACATTTGGCTTCTCGAGTTGATTGCAGGCGCGCCAGTGGTGTCCAAGTCACAGTACCAGCAAACCGTTGCTCTTAGCCCGGTGGAGTCTAAGTATATGGCTCTCAGCCTTTGCACTCTTGAAGTTCTCTGGATGTCTGCAATGTCCTCCTAGGACATGGGTCATGAGCAAGTGAAAGATAAACATGTCTGAAAAGACAACCTAGGAGCGATTGCTTTAGCCAACAACGCCGGATACCATGCTCGGACAGAGCAAGTGGACATAAGGCACCGCTTCGCTCGCGAGAATGTCCAAGAAAGAATTTTGAGAATCGAATGTATCGACACAAATCGTCAACTTGCAGATATTTCGAAAACAAGATGATTGGTTTTATACGCGAGGCAGCGGGTTTCAAGACCACACTAATGTCAAGATTCAACAAGCATCAACGGCGTGTGAAAGCGTTGAGATTACGCTGAAGAAGAACGATATTGCGGCTATATGTATATTTTACATGCATCAGTATTACAATTTTTGTTCGAACAGAATTCTCACATAGATTAGCCTAATGGTTATGTTGTGGCGCCCCTTTCATGGTTGAGGGTTTGATTCCTCAAATGACAACCACGGTGTTTAAGGCTCACTGTGGAGCTACAAGCCAGCAGCCACGTCTCCTCGTCCTTTTAATCCAAATTGTATAATACTGTAGAATAGATATGACAATGTTAGGAAGATAAAGACAAAGAAACTATAGTAATCTTTTCTTTTGGGGTTTAACGGTTTTATAGTACAAAGTCCATTAGTTTACAATGAAGTCACCGTGTCATGATAGAACGATTCAGTATGTCACTACTCACTTGACTCTTCGATACTGCCTTCATGCGTTTTTTGTCAGCTTTTGTTCAGACGAATTATCGAACTTCGCTTGAATGTTTCACCAAAATGAGAACCTCAGCCAGCAAAATGTATCTGATGTACAATGGATCAAGAGCGATCGTGCTTCATGTTGCTCAAACCAGCAACAAAATCTTGGCGGTATCTAGCAGCGCTATAACCGCGTCGGTCGCTTTTGACAAAAATCGATGAGCCTGTATC